CCCAGTCACTGAATCAATCCACCTCATAGAGGGCCTTCCTCTCCTGCACTGTCCCTCCACCCTCCCAAGCATGATATCCCTCTCCAGGGACCGGTCCCTCCTCACAACATGTCCAAAGTATGTTAGACGGAGCCTCAGAAGATTATAATTATAGTATATTATATATTTGTTACGTGTCAGAGAGTTGGATAATGGGAGGATAGGAGAATTAATGCCTTTGAGCTGTGGTGCTGGAGAAGAGTATTGAATGTACCATAGACTTCTAGGAAAACAAACAGGTTCAACCTGGAGAGAGTTAAACCAGGCTGCTCCTTGGAGGCAAGGATTCTGAGCCTTCGTCTGACATACTTTGGACATGTTGCAAGGAGGGACCAGTCCTTGGAGAAGGATCTCGTGCTTGGGAGTGTGGAGGGACAGCGGCACAAGAGGGGAAGGCCCTTGATGAGGTGGATTGATTCAGTGACTGGGATGATCGGGATGGGTGTGTTAGAGACAGTGAGATTGCCATAAGATAGAGCAGGGTTTCAGGCTGTTGTATATAGGGTCAGCATGAGTCGCAAGGGACTTGATGGCACATAACAACAATGATGTATTATATATTTCACTATTTTTAATATTTTACACATATTTTTAATTGTTATACTAATAAATATTTTATGTTAAAAACAAGGTGAGAATGTTGGCATCTGGCTAAGATAGAGCAGGAGCTAGTTACTCATGAGGGTACTAAGGGACTCTGTGTAAACGATCAAAAACAAGGTTGATTTACACTTTGTGAATGATTATGCAGTTTACAATTTAAATTTAAAAGGCAACTATTTTCCACTGCTACTAGCATAAGGTATTGAAGAAACATGCACAAAGTATGTGAGATGAAGCTTTATCATCTGAGTCAACTGTTGTTGTATACTGTCAATTAAGAACCGACTCAAGGCTGGCTATCAGCGGGTTTTCAGAAGCAATTAGTCACACAGCAGGAGATTGACCCTCCTTCTCCAGTGGAGCAGTTGGTGGACTCGAACTGCTTGCCTTCAGGATTGCAGTGCCGCTTCTTGCCCCTAGGCCACCAGAGCTCTCTTCTGAGCCAACTATTGTTATGGGCCATCGAGTCACTTGTACAACAGCCCTATACCCTGCTCTATCCTGTGCCAATCTTATTGTCACTGACTCACCTACCCCAGTCACTGAATCAATCCATCTCTTTGAGGGTCTTCCTCTCCTGCACTGTCCCTCCACACTCCCAAGCATGACATCCCACTGCAAGGACTGATCCTTCCTTGCAACATTTCCAATCAGACGAAGCTTCAGAATCCTTGCCTCCAAAGAGCAGCCTGGCTTCACCCACTCTCAAATGAACCAACCTGTTTGTTCTCTTAGCAGTCCGTGGTATATTCAGTACTCTTCTCCAGCACCACAGCTCAAAGGCATCAATTCTCCTTCTATCATCCCTAGTCATGTCTAGCTTTCTGATGCATATTAAGTGATTACAAAGACCATGGCCTGAATCATGTGTACCTTAGTCTCCAGAGTAACATTGTTCCTCTTCAGTACTTTGGAGAGGTCTCTTAAAGCAGACTAGAGCTCCCTAATTTAGATTTGAATGTTGTTGATTTTAGAAGGTGCTTTCTTGTCTGCAGGCATTCTTTTCTTTATTTGCTCATGTTCTGTACTACAGTTGAGGAATGGAAGCATATTTTATCAAGAGAAAGTACTGAAAATCCTTTTAGTTAGTCTAGAAGAGTAACTGGATGTCTCACTAAATTAGTTTTCCAGAAGAGGAAGCTATGATAAATAAGTCTGCATAGAAATTAAGATGACTTAATTTAAAAACAATAAGCAAAACACAAGGAAGTGCTAAGATCTTTTTAGTAGTCAAGAATGAAATTTGAATGAACAAATAAGATGGTTTTGGAATGTTTCTTATAGTTCTTTATCTGTTTTTTGACTGCCAGGCCTTGACAGATACATGTTTTAGAACCTCATCAGTCAGATCATGAACATAGAAGCCCCACTCAGGCAACTTTGTCACAATGATCCAGTGACTTGATAATTTAAAAGAAAGTGTGACAATATATTACAAGAGTGAGGATGTAAAGGTCAAGGTACTCTCTGTCATCTCTGCCTGTTGCACCACACTGCACTTTTCTCCTTTAAAACCACATCATACAAATGACATCAACAAGAGTGCTAACCTACCATGACCACCACCTCAGAACTCCCCATGTCGGTGCTCTGCTGACCACCGTTTATCTTGATCCTCTCTCTCTGTGCTGCAGATGTTGTTATCATTCCCACTTTATAGATGAGGAAATACTTAGGGAAGATCAGTTACTTGGTCCAAGTCACGTAAGTATTGGTAGTGTGGCAGAGTCAGAACCTCAACCCAGATTTGCTAGCTCAGGACCCATGCATTCCCCCTGTGCTCCATGCTGCTTGATGAAGATAATCATGGAGATTGTCTCAAGCCCAGAAGAAGTGCATGCAGGTGGTATCTCTTACGCAGGGTCACCATGAAACTGCAGTTAGATTACAGCAAATGCCTCCACGTTCATTGCCTCCTGAATTGCTCTTCATTGTAATGTTTTGCATCTTTCCCTTTCTAATTGAAATACTTCAGTCAAAGACTAAGTATAAAGTATAAATAGTAATATGAAATTCAGCAACATAACTACCTCCCAGATTTGTCGGAAATTGTTTTGTCATATTTGTTTCTGAGCATTTTTTTTAAAAAAAAAACAAAACTCTTTCATTTGGTATATTTTTAAAGAAAAAAGCTTCCTGTTTATGAAAGAAAACATTCTGAACTCTGACTTTTGCCATATGGGCATTATTTGAAATGCTTTCAGAACACTTCCTGAGCAAATTCATATGTACTCCAAGCACCTTATTTACAACAAACATCTTTGGAATCAGTCGAATTCAGGAGCATAATTAAAGAATGCTCTTTAGAGATACTTCTTTTCAAGGTTCATGAGAGAATAATAAATAACTGCTTTAGTTTTCTGAAGTGATGGCATTGCTGCTTCCTCAGTAACCTTGACTTCCTGTTTCTGTTGTCTCCTCTCTTCTAGCACAAAAGCTGTGAGCCGTTTTCATTCTCCTTTTGTTGTAGAAAATTACAGACATCTGAATCAGCTCCGGGAGCAGCTAATCCTTGACTGCAGCGCTGAATGGCTAGATTTTCTAGAGTGAGTTTATAATACAAAATATAATCTGACTTCTTTGCTATGAGAAGTAGGACAGAGACTCTTTCCATAGAGAAAGGAAAAGTAGAGATTACTGTTTGCCACCTGCCATGACACCACTGAGTGCATGTTGTACCCTCTGGTTTTACTTTTAATCCAGTGAAAATAAAATCACTTTGTTTTTGCTGAGAGATCACATTGTTACTTTATTGTTTTTTATTGTTGGTGTCTAACATTTTGTGGCTAAGGATGTTTCCTACAGTCTTTGCTATGTCTCAGAGATTGTCTCAGATTCAGTATGAACACACAAATATGAACCGTAACTCTTACCTAAAAGAACAAACAAATCTGTCTTGAAGGAAGAGCAACCACTGTGCTCCTTAGAGGCCAGGGGGGTGAAACTTCATCTCACGTATTTCATGAACATTCTCAGGGCGAACCAGTCCTTGGAGAGAGAGACCTCGTTCAGAAAAAGGTTGTGGATCTGGGAAACAGAGGTGAAGGCCCCCAGCAGGCTGGGTAGACACAGTGACTGCCACAGTGGACTTAAGCACCGTAGAGATCTTGAGGATGGTGCAGGACAAGGCAAAGATCAGACCTGTTGTTCATATGGTCACTGTGAATCATAGTTCACTCAAAGACACCTAACAACAATAACATAACAAAGGGAGCTCTGGTGCCCTAGTGCATTCATTACATGTTGTATGGCTAACCAAAAGGCCAGCTGTTCGAGGGGACAGTCTCCTCCTATAAAGCTGTTAGTGTCTAGATGCCCCGTTGGGATTCTAATCTATATAAGACCAGCAGTGCATTGTTCATTTCCAAAGGGTCAACTCCACCGGAAGCTGGTACTGCAGAGGAAATTGCTTTGGACTTTACTGGCACAAATAGTGCTTCTCACCCATTGCCTTGTTCCCGCATTCCATTGCTTGCTTGCTACCACAGCTGACAATTGTGTTATAGTTTGTCCACCAGATCCCAAATTCCAGCATCATCAGCAGGGCCTTGAGCTCCAGAGCACAATGGTGCTGAGGGCACCTCAAGTCCAAGGGAGCGGGCTGCATGGCCGACTGCCTCCATATCTCCCTCCATTTCATACAATGCCAATTTTGCATAATGACTTACTCTTTGAAACCTAAGTATGTGAATAATTAAGACGTTTGTGTAGTAATAATCATAAACATTATTTGAACTCATACCCATAGTCAGTGATGTGTTGGTAATGGCTGACAACCAGCTTTCTGGGGAAAAAAAAATCATAATACTCATTAAAAATTTTTTTTGTCAATTTTGAGGCTGTTTTGTCACCACTGAACTGGATTTGGGAAAAGATGTACACAGTTAATGTCAGTGAATCTGTGGTAGCCTGTGCCAGCCCACCACTGGTCTGAACACTTTATATATTAACTCATTTTTCCTTACAGGAACCCTGTGAGGTAAGTATTATTATCATGCTCAGTTTATAAATTAATAATGCAAGATGCAGAAATTTTAAATAAGTTGTCCATGAAGAGTAAAAAGAGAGACCAGGATTCAATCCAGGCCATCTGGTGGTAGGTTGGTTGTGTGCCCACAGTGCGTCCCAAGACATCACTCTAAACAGAAATCTCACTGTTGGTCGCTGTTTAAAAATTTAAACAGTAAATATTCTGTAATGTTCAGAAGTTTTATTTCCATATCAAGTAAGTCAGCTAACAAGTGGGAGTGGGGGAGGGAACAAAATAGATGAGAATTTTTAAAAGGTAGTTATTTAAGAAATTGTTAAAGACCTACCAATTATAGCACTCATATAGGATTTGAACTTAGATTTAATCTTTTTGAGATAATCTTGACTGTTGTTGTTAAGTGCCATTAAGTCCTACGCAACTCATAGGGACCCTGTGAATGAAAGACCTGGACACTAGTATAAGTTTCATTCTTTCTCCAAGTTCATAGAGTTTCCACAGTCAAGCTATTTCAGAAGTGGATGCTGTTCCTGCTTCCAGGCTTGTTTTACTTGGGGCGCACCACCATGGGTAACCATTCTCACATTTGACACATCAGTGTCACAGTGTTCAGCTTCACAGCAACCACAACTTACCTCTGTACAGCAAGTGGACAGACCGGGGCTATATGACCTAGAGGAATGTTTGACCAAAACCAGCTAAAAACAGGCCTGAGTGCCATGGATTAGAGTCACGCACCTCTGGCTTGGTAGTATCACTTTCTGTCCCCTAGGCCAACTTATCTCTCTCTACGCGGTTGTTGTTGTTAAGTGCCGTGGAGTCATAGGCGACTCATAGTGACCCTTTGAATGAAAGACCTGGACACTTGTGTAACTTTCATCCTTTCTTCAGGTTCATAGGGTTTCTGCAGTCAAGCTGTTACGGAAGTGGATGCCACTCCTGCTTCCAAGTTTGTTTTAGTCGGGAAGCCCCACCAAACACTGTCCAGCACGGATAACCATTCTCACATTTGACACATCAGTGTTACAGTGTTCAGTCTCACAGCAACCTCAAGTTACCTCTGTACGGCAAGTGGACACATCAGGGCTATATGACCTAGAAGAATGTTTGAACAAAAACAATTAAAGACAGGCCTGAGACTCTTTAATAAAGAAGTGAATATTTTTCTATATTCTGTTCCTTTGCCAGTTTACTTTCCATTTCTCATTATGAGGTTGTTCACAGTCCTTGAGCCTCTCAGTTCTCCTGGATTCTTCCTTGGTAAAATCACCGACAACATGAACAGTGTACTCAGATTACATCTTCAGGAGTCAGGGGTCATCGTCTAGAGGCTTGGGAGTTGATAAGAGTATTCCATCTTCACTCTATTCTTAATCTTATGCCTTTAGGTTATATTTACTATGTTCTCTTTCTAGACAGAAGGAAGTTTGAGTCTCCCATGCCAAAAACTTTGGCACTATCCTTGTTTCTTTCTTCCCTTTTTTCCTTTTTTCTGTCTTTAAATTCCTGCCTATCTTTTTTCTATTTAGTTTTTTTCTTTTTCTATTCATTCTTCCCCTCTTCTCATATGTTGTTGTTGTTGTTATGTGCCGTTGAGTCGCCTGTGACTCATAGTGACCCTATGTACAACAGCCCTAAACTCCGCTCTGTCCTGTGCCAGTCGCACTGTCTCTGACACTCCCATCCCAATTATCCCAGTCACTGAATCAATCCACCTCATATCATAAAGGGCCTTCCTCTCCTGCGCTGTCCCTCCACCCTCCCAAGCATGATGTCCCTCTCCAAGGACCGATCTCTCCTCACAACATGTCCAAAGTATGTTAGACGGAGCCTCAGAATCTTTGCCTCCAAGGAGCCACCTGGTTTAACCCTTTCCAGGACAAATCTGTTTGTTTTCCTAGCAGTCCATGGTATTCTCAATACTCTTCTCCAGCACCACAGCTCAAAGGCATCAATTCTCCTTCTATCCTCCTTGGTCATTGTCCAACTCTCTGATGCATAACAAGTGATTGTGAAGATCATGGCCTGTATCAAACGCGCACCTTACTCTTCAGGAGAGGTCCCTAACAGCAGACTTTCCCATGGCAATGCGCCTTTTAATTTCCTGGCTGCTGGTGCCAAGACTGTTGACTGTGGAGCCAAGCAAGCTAAAGCTGTGTACAATCTCAATCTCTTCACCATCCATCCTGATGCTGCCAGTTGGTCCAGTGGTGAGAATCTTTGTCTTCTTGACATTGAGCCTCAATCCATATTGTAGGCTGCAGTCCTTGACACTCTGCAGCAGGCGCTTCAGGTCCTCCTCAGTTTCAGCAAGCAGGGTTGTGTCATCCGCATAACACAGATTGTTGATAAATCGTCCAGCAATCTTGACCCCACATTTCTCCTCATATAGCCCCGCCTCCTAGATAATCTGTTCTGCATATAGGTTGAAAAGGTATGGAGATAGGATACATCCCTGGCGTACGCCCTTCCCAATTTTGAACCATGCAGTGTTCCCTTCCTCTGTTCTGACGACTGCCTCCTGGTCCAAGTATAAGTTTCGCATTAGAACGATCAAGTGTTCTGGGATTCCCATTCTTCTCAGAGTCAGCCACAGTTTGTTATGATCTACACAGTCAAATGCCTTTGCATAGTCAATGAAACACAGATAGACATTCCTCTGGTATTCCCTGCTTTCAGCCCTCCGTTCCGGCAGGAAGGTCAAAGGAGGGGCTAGGCATCTGACTAGCTGAAGTTGGGCACCTCAGAGGACGGCCTCAGACCCCGCTGACCCATCCCATCTTTCCAGGTAATCGAAGACCCTCGGGCCAAGAAAAGCCTATCTACACACCAGTTCTACGGGATGCATCACCTTTGATGGGGAAGCATTACTACTAACCTTCAGAGACATTGATCCCAACATAAAGAACTACCATCAGCTGATGTGTTTGAAATCACAGAAGCCATGGAAGCTTCATATATAAGTTATTAAATGGAGGGCTGGTGAAAGGGATGAGATCTTCTCATATAGCATATATTATTTTCAGCACTCACACCATTCTTAACTGCATTAGCCTTTTAGCTGGACTCAACTACGAAGTTAATCCAAGAGTACACTTGCTTTTGTTCCCATTCCAAAGAAGGGTGACTTAACAGAGTGCAGAAATTATCAAACAATATCATTAATATCACATGCAAGCAAGATTCTACTGAAAATTATCTAAAAATGACTGGAAGAGCACATCAACAGAGAATTGCCAGAAGTGCAGACTGGGGTTAGAAAAGGCCCTGATACTAGGGATATTAGAGCTAATGTTAGATGGATCTTGGCTGAAAACAAAGAGGAATGTCTGTGTTTCATTGACTATGTAATGACATTTGACTGTGTGGATTACAACAAACTGTGGCTGATTCTGAGAAGAATGGGAATCCCAGAACACTTGATAGTACTTTTGTGAAACCTGTACTTGACCCAGGAAGCAGTCCTCAGAATGTTGACATTTGCCAGGGCCTTTGCAACACTTGCTTTTAATCATAATCACCCTGTTGCTGTATTTTCAAGATAATGGGAGTTAACTGGTTTGTGCAAGACCTGGCACAGTTTAGTTCAGTTGTGCATAGTCATTGTGAATCTGAGCTGATTTGGGATCATTTGACAACAACCTAATGAAAGTTGACCAGTGTTAAAATGACATTGCCCAAGAATATACTCATTACGTAGTGATAAGTGAAGAAAAAGAACATCAAACAGTGTTATAATAGGATACAATTATTTGTATCCTTACATACACACGGGCATATAGTCTTTTTTATGGTTAGGATGATCATCATTACTCAAGTACCAAATTTTATCACTATGTAACAGCCGAATTACATCGTTACACAATTACTGAACCACTGAGAATCATGGCCCAGCCAAGTTAACTTTAACCATTACAGTCAATATTATTCTCACCTTTTATCTCAGCATTTGTTACTAACATACTCAAGTAGTAGGCTTTATACCATTGTCATAAATACAAACTGTCAGATAACAAAGATTACAAAGATAGTCATTGAGGCATTAATGTATATGTAGCTACCCTGCTCTGTCTGAGTATCAAAAAATGTTTGACACTGAAAAGCTGTCCGTTTTTCTCACGGTTTTCCCTCATTCTTGGGTCTCATAGAGGCCCTCATGATCCTAACTTGCAATCTAGGAAGCAGATAATTGCCTCTCCTGACTCTACAAAATCTGTCATGGTAATGACTGCCATTCGCTGTCATTAATTCCCATAAAATTTTAAAAGAAAGGCAGGAAGAGATAAGTAATTAATGTAGACAATGATGTCATTTCTGACAATAATATAAATAAGACATGCAAATTAAATGAGAAACCATATTGGAAACCTTAAGCATTACCACAATTCTTTTAAAGAAGCCTTGTTTGATTTCTTGGCATTTCAATTTTTTCTGTATCTTGCCCATTTTTTTTTTAAGAGTTCAGGATTTTTTATTGAACATGTTACAAAAAGAGTTTAGTCAAAAAGACCAAATCCCATGTCATCATCAGACTCTGCAGATTCTTCTTTCTTTGCTTCCCCTTTCTTCTCCTCAGCTGGAGCAGCAGCAGTTGGCAGGGCAGGTCCTCCAGCTGGTGCGGCCCCGGCCGCTGGGGCAGGTCCACCAGCACCCACACTGCAGATGAGGCTCTCAGTGTTGACATTTGCCAGGGCCTTTGCAAACAGTCCAGGCCAGAAAGGTTAAACGTTGACACCGGCTGCCTTAATGAGGGCATTGATTTTATCCTCCGTGACTGTCACCTTATCGTCGTGCAGGATGAGGGCCGAGTAGATGCAGGCGAGCTCAGAGATGGAGGCCATGGTGCGGTGGTTCTAGGCTGAAGTCTGCCGGAGCGGTGCTAGTCGCCGGATGAAGTGAGGGCCTCACCCCAATGCGGTCTTAGCTTCCTCTGAAAAACCAAGCACCTTAAAGGCAACTGAGGAAAGGGGCTATCTTGTCCATTTTTAAGGAGACTGTCCATTTTTATAAAAAAGAATCACCTAATAAATGAGTAGTGTAGATAATGGTTGGATGCTATTGTTGTTTTTAGGGTCCTTTGAAGCAGTTTTGACTCATAGTGACCCCACAACTGCTCTAGGACGTTCTTGACTATCATTGATTTGGGAGCCAATTGCCACATCTCTCTCCCTTGAAATACCTGCTGAGTTTGATCTGCCAACATTTTGGCAAGCAGCCAAGTAACCAGGTTACTACTATAACCAGGTTCATATGACGACATGTAATTATCACTTAACTACCAACCTCTTAAGGATGAAGTGTAAACACCATAATCTCTTCCCAAAAGATGATGCTGGGTTCATGTCAGCTCAGCTCTGCTCATTGAGTTGAGTGGGTTCAGACCGATACTGACTTTCCATCAGGTTTCTGGGACTGTAAATCTTTATGGGAGGAGACTGCCCATCTTTCTCCCTTAAAACTGTTAGTAAATATAAACTACTAGAAATGTGCAGACATTGATCAGCAGTGTAACGTGCTATGGACTACACCCCATAGGTCCTTAGGTTACCATGTAGGCTAGAGGTAAGGAATTGCACTTCCGGTCCAAAGGAACATGGTTAAAATCTTTCATGCCTAGCTACATGTCCCAAGCATGAAAGACAAAGCTTTACCATCTTTTTCTTTTTTCCCCCCATTAAAAATTTTTTTCATTATTAATTTTTATTATTAAAATTAAAGTTTAGAGACTGAGGGTTTCCATCATTCATTGTTGCACTTTTCTCCCTCCCCACTCTTCCCTCCCCCCCAATTCACTCTTCTCTTTGAAAAGTAAAAAGTTTTTCATTGTTATACAATCCCTCATCCCAAGTCCACTCCACTATGCAGCCTTCATTCTGGACTCCTGTCATGACAATAATACCTGATCACATATTCCTCTTAAAACAGTTTTCTCCCTCATCTGTTTCAATGCAGTATATATTATTCATCCCATCTTTTTTAGTCCCCCCAACACCGATATCAGTCCTCTTTTATAACAGTGGCACTATGCATTATTTGTCCTTTTTTTGACTGAGATATTTCACTCAGCATAATGTCCTTCAGGGTCACCCATTTTGAATAATATTTCATGAGTTCCTTATTTTTCAATGCAGCATAGTATTCCACTGCTGTGTGAATATACAACAGCTTCTCTATCCATTCATTTGTTGATGGGCACTTAGGTTGTTTCCAGTTCCTTGCTGTTGTGAACAAAGCCGTGATAAACATGGGTGTGCATATATATGCTTGGGTGGCAGTTATGGTCTCTTTGGGGTATATTCCCAGTAGTGGAATTGCTGGGTCAAATGGAATCTCTATTTGTAACTTTTTGAGAAAGTGTCACACCACTTTCCACAGTGGTTGCACCATTTTACACTCCCACCAACAGTGAATAAGGGTTTCAGTTTCTCTGCAACCTTGCCAGCATTTGTTGATTGCTGTTCTGTTAAATTTTGCTATTCTGACTGCAGTGAGATGATATCTCATAGTTGTTTTTACCATCTTTTTCCAGTACTTATCTCTTTGTCCTTTTGGCAGCCCATGGGATAATCAGCACTCTTCTGTGGCATCACACCTCACAGGCATCATTCTTCTTCTGTCATTCTTATTCATTGTCCAGCTCTCTGAGGTAAAGCAGGTGATTGAGAAAGAAGATTATGTCCTCAATCAGGTGTACCTTTAGTCATCAAATTACATTATTGCTCTACAGCATTTTGGAGATGTCTCTGACAGCATACCTGCTCATGGCAAACCATCTCTTGATTTCCTGAACTGCTGGTACCAAGAGAATTGATTGTAGATCATAGCGAGACGACATCATTGACCACTTTACTCTTTTCTCCAGCAAGCATTTCATATCCTCCTCACTTTTAGAAGCAATGTTGTGTCATCTGCTTAACACAGGTTGTTGATGCTGACCCTGATGTTACATTCCCCTTAATAGAGTCTAGCTTTGTAAATTATTTGCTCAGCACACAGTTTGAATAGGTGTGAAGAAAGGATATAACCCTGACACACACCATTCCTGATATTAAATCACGCAGTGTTCCCTTGCTCCACTTGGGTAACAACTTCTTAATCTAGGTATAGATTTCTCATGAGCCCAATTAAGGATTTTGAAATTCCCATTCTTCTCAAAGTTAGCCATACTTTGTTATGATCCATATAGTCAAATGCCTTTGCATGGTCAATAAAACACAAATAGACATTCTTCTGGTCTCCTCTGGTTTTAGCCAAGATGTGTCTGACATCAGCTATAATAATAGCTCTGGTGCCACAGCCTTTTCTTGTGGATTTTTTTGTTTGTTTGTTTTTTAAGAAGCAAGCAGAAGCATATTGCATTAGATTTTTCACCCCCTCTATGGCAAGCGTTTACAAATCTTTATTCTTTAAAAAATTCATATATGTATTCTATTAGGGTGTGTGTGTATTATGTATATGTGTGTGTGTATTATGTATATGTGTGTGTATGTGTGTGTATATATATATATATATATGATGTCCACATGTAATATTTAATGAAGCAAATCTCAGAAATGTGGCCAATGTCTTCTAAAGCCAGCTTGAATTTCTGGCAGTTTCCTGTCCATGTACTGTTCTAACCATTTTTGGATCATCTTCAGCAGTATTTTGCTTACATGTGATATTAATGGTATTGTTTGATAATTTCCAAATTGTGTTGGATCACCTTTCTTGGAAATGGAAACAAAAATTGAACTCTTCTAGTCAGCTGGCCAGGCAGCTGCCCTCCAAATTTCCTGGCATTCACTGCTGAGCATATCCAGGGCTGCATCTCTTTGTTAAAACACGTCAGTTAGTCTCTCATTGATTCCTAGGGCCTTATTTTTTGCCAGTGCCTTTAGTTAAGCTTAAATTTCATCCTTCTTTGCCATTGGCTCTTGTTCATATGTTACTTCCTGAAATTTTTCAGTGTCATCTTATTCTTTTTGTTAGAGTGATTCTGTATATACTGCTAAATAAGGTTAATAAAAGAAAAAAAAAGACCTATTTCATATGAAAATGCATTTCTAAAATATTTTAACTACTTTTAAGAGATATTACAATTCAATTATTTAAAGAATTTTCGGTGAAGAATATTCCAAACTCCTAATTCTTTTTTTGGACATGAAAGAAATGATATTTTTTGAGAGAAGTTCCCATTTAGAGTTTTTACAGCATTAATTTCTTGCAATACTTTGATGAAAAGTAATATGATTAATATTATAGCTATGAGTACTTCAACAAGAGATAAATACACTTGGATAGTTGTATTCAAGGTTTTGCTGTTTGGTTCACTGAAATTAATAATTTTTTTAATGACATCGTATTCATACCATCTGGAACTTTAGTAAGCAGTCTGCAGAACAGTCAATGCTGTTGAGTTCTGATAGGAGCTTAAGCCACAAATTCTCTAGTAATATTTCAGGCAATATCATATATTTTTTAAAATAAACATGTTAATACATTTTTCATATTTTAAACTAATCCACGAACACTATAGAAACTTCTGAAGTCATAAATGAAATGAAAATAAAATCACCATTAATCTCACAATCTAAAAGTAATCAATTACAATTTAATGTTCTCTCTCTACATATATATATAGGGAGAGAGAGGTCCTTGGAGAGGGACATTGTGCTTGGCAGAGTGGAGGGACGGGGCAGGAGAGGAAGACCCTCGATGAGATGTATCGATTCTGTGGGTGGAGTGGTGGGAATGAATGTGTTTGAGACAGTGAGGTTGGCACAAGATAGAACGGCATTTAGGGCTCCTGTACATAGGGTCACTATGAGTCGCAAACGACTCGATGGCACATAACAACAACAACTATTTACATTTATAACATACTTATGTGTACATATACACAGTGATAACATACCTTGAATTCTGGTCACTTAGTTTATAGGAAATTGTGCTGCTAACTCAAAGGCTGTACCTGTCTGGCTGTGTGGATCTACTTTTGTTCAGTACTGCCAAGTCAGAACCAACTGAAAGCTGACCCCCTAGCAGATTTTTACAGGCAATAAATCCCACTGAAGGAGATTACCCATCTTTTCCCCCACAACAGATCCAATTTTGTACATGCCATGATTTATTCATCACAAATATCTTTCAAAAGAACACAAATGGGCCTCAACAGATGGACTACATAGGAATCAAATTGACTGAATCTTTGTAAAGAATCATTGGAAAAGTCAGTATCAGCAGTCAAAACCAGGCCAGGTGCTGACTATAGAACAGACCATCAGTTACTCATATGTCAGTTCAAATTGAGACTGAAGAAATGAAAAACAAGTACCAAAGTCTTTTCCGAGTCTGTCTTTTCTGAATTAAAAATTATCTTAAGAATAGATGTGAAGCATTGAGCTCCAAGGATTGAGAACCAGATGAGTTGTGAGATGACTTCAGGGATATCATCCATGAGGAGAGCAAAAGGTCACTACAAAAAGGAAAAAGAAAAACCAGAATGGATATCAGAAGAGTCGCTGAAAATGGTACTATAGCATCAGGAAGCAAAAAATAATGGAAGAGATTAAAGTAAAATTGCTGAACAGAAGATTCCAAAGAAGAGCTTGAGAAGACAAAGCAAAGTATTATGGATTATGCAGAGAGAAAAATTTGCTTGGCACTTCTCATCAACAACCTACATTATGTAAATGACACAACCTTGCTTGCTGAAACTGAAGAAGACTTGAAGCACTTGCTGCAGAAGGTCAAGAAATGTAGTCTTCAATATGAATTGAAGCTTAACATCAAGAAGACAACGATTTGCACCACTAGGCCAATTGGCAGCACCATGATGGATGGAGGAGAGATTGAGGTTGTGAGC